TTCTCATCTGTAAAATGGGAGCCATATGGAGGCCTACTTGGCAGGACTTTTGTGAGAACCAGGGAAGGTAGGAACAGATGGAAAGAACATTGTGCCAAGTCAATGACAACTTTGGATAGGGAGAGGTGAAATTATTTGACAGAAGATCCTTTGGTTTGTAAAGGGTTCTTCATCTGTGATTTATACACAGGACTGCTTCAGTCATGTGTCAGTGTGAAGATAAGTCTTGTCAATGGTGAAGGGCCGAAAGGGTCAGTGTCAGTCTGTCCTGTTCGTTCCCCTAATGCCTTGCTTCTAGGTCGCACTTTCCCAAGTTTTGTGTTTCCTTTCTCATTTCACATTCTCCTCTTGTTGCTGTAGCTGGCTCCTCAGAGACAGGGAATTGGCAAGGCTGTGAGGATGAAAGACTTGGAGAGTGAACCAGCATCTCACATACACTTTTCTCACTGAAGAAATGTGGCAACCCTAAGAAAGCTGGAGTAGCCCCATTCTACTTCCTATGGGTGATTTTTTAAAAAATTGATTCAGTAATCAATGATATTAGCTCAACAGCTGGCTTGTTCATCTTAAGACCAACAGGCAGATTTCAGATTGCCTTCTATTTTACAAACACTTCTCTGAGAATAAAATATAAATGAAACATTGGAGCAAAAAATAGAATGTTGGTCCCAACCCCAGAAAGACTCACAATATATCCTTTTGCAGCCTCACTTTTAAGGTCAGATGTGAAAACTTTTGCCAGTTGGATGCTCATGCATCCACAGGCAAAGAAAGTAAATGCACTGATTCCTTTTTTAAAATAATGAGCAACATTTGGAACATTTATCAGCCAAAGAAGGAGCATAGTTCACAAACTTGATCAACTCAGTTGCGGTTAGTAAGAGGCATAAATGTTTTCAATGAACTTGGAGACAGCCTTGAAAGTACATCAGTAATTTCCCCAGGAACTTGAAACCTGGACCCTCCCTAAACCAAACTACTGACAAGCAGATTTTGTTTTCAGTGTTCTTACTGTGTCTTTTCCTCATGCTCTCAGGACCCAATTCTCCATGTCACTCCCAGGTGCACGTAGACACACACACACACACACACACACACACACACACAAATGATTCACACCAGCTCTGGTTCTTTCAATGTTGAAGGAGTTAGAGCCACAAATACAAGTGGATTTCCTTTTGCTCTCACCTCTGTTCTTCCCTGGGCTGCAAGGAAGAGGTCCTGGACCTTGAGAAATTGCCCCTGCTCTGCCTCTGTGGCCCACTAAATCATGTGGTGCATTTGTGACCATCCATGTAACAAGTGTGGGCGAATGGGGCATGAGGAACTCAGATCTTCCTTTTCCTTAAATTCCGATTCACCTATCTGGCTTTGGGAGCAGGCTGAGGAGGGCACTTTCAAATGTGTTATACAACAGTTTGCCTCTGGTTTGCTTTGTCTGGGTCAGACCCAGCCAACCTGATGAGTCAATGCTAACTGCTTTGGGAAGCCAGGGTGACAAGAGCTCTGGAAACAGAGAAGCTTCTTTCAGGGCACTCACTCCCCACCTGCCAGCAGAGCTGCACTTGGTCACTCAGGGTTTATGTTGCTCCTCAAGGTAACTGATGCTAATCAATGCTTGCTTCCCCAGAAGTTGCACCAGGATTATTTTCTCCACATCTCCCCCAGAAAATCAGCTCATGCACAGCGTTGGGCATGTTATCCGGGGCTATTTGTGAAAGGAAAACAGATTCTCTCATTATATCTGGAAGAAATAAGAAGCTTTTAACAACCATGGATATTCTTTATTATAACTCTGTGACAATGTAGGGACCTTAAATGTCTTCTGAATCTGCAAAAACAAATGACTGCCAATAGCCAGTGGCATTTTTCTGGTGCATATTATTATGCAGATCTGTTTCTTTGGAGATGGGAAAAAGTTTATTGGGAGAGACACTGGCTGGGAGACCATGGAGTCAGGAGTGTCAGTCTTCAAGCCTGTAAGGGTTTCAACGTCAACACCCGTAAAGTCAGTGGGTGAGATTATCTCCAGAATTCTTTCAGTCCTGAAATGTCAGGATGTTGCCTATCTCTGGTACCCTGAACATTTAGCTAAGCATTTTTTCTTTCTCTAACTGTGCCAGATACATGAGAGAACTTACTGTATGAATTGAAAGTCTAGAGCCAGTAAGGAAAACCTACTCACATCCCAGACTGCCTTATGCTTGTTGATGTCAGAACAAGAATGACTGTGGGTAATCAGAGGAGGACCTGAAAAAGAACAGCGCGTACCTGGCAGAATTTGTATATCAGTGCGTTACAATTTGCCAGCGTGTTCTTGAAAGTTAAATCTTCCATTACATAACTTTTTATTCCTTTCTTTAAAATGTTCCAGTTGGGTTGGCATATTTTATGATTTCCCTTGCTTCAGAGATTAGCACATTGTCAGTGATTAGATTGAAATCCCCAGGTATTTTTCAATTTAAAAGGTTGAGGTGGTGATATGGGAGGAGTAGGTTGAGCAAAGAAGCTGCTACTTAAAATATTTAAAACGACCGTATGTGCCTTAGATAATGAGATTAGAGTTAATTTTGAAAGCCTTGCAGTCCTAAAATAGGTAGCTCTCTTTGTACACAAACACCTGCAAAGGTCTGAAAAATGAAGAAGTATGTTGGGATCAAAATCAGAGCATCCACATGGGGCCTTTTTCTGTACAGCTGTGAACCTCCGTAAAATGTCCCCATTCATTGGCATCGTGAGCTGCTGGCCTACTGGGGTGCAGTGTCCTTACAAACTGAGGGGAAAAGCATTTCCCTTCAGTGTGGTCATGAAGGAGTCCTATAGCCTGTTAGTTATTCAAGAAATAAAGAATTTTCCCCTCCATTGGTTTTAAATTAAAAGATACATTTTATTAAACAGTGAAATGAATCTTATTATTTTTTAAAAAGCACTTGCACTTATGCTACCATTAACTAAAAATCTACATATAAAAATCAAGCAAGGGGATTATTTTTAACCTAGGAGGCTCCTCTTAAACTCTATGGATGCAGAGAATTACAAACTAAAACATCGAATTTAACTGTGCTATATCTGAGCAAGAATACAACTATACTATAACACTCCTCAGAGGTTTTTTTCCTATATATAATGCTTACACTTGACTAATTGGTCATTAGCAAAATAAGCTCTTATTAGTAAAAATTTTAGAGGAGCAACCTGGAATGGATTATGCAATTTGTGAAAGCTTTTCTAAAATGAATGTGATTCACAGGCTCAAAACAGATACAATTTATTTTAAAATTTAAAGGGTTATCTTAGCAAAGGCTTGATTTTCCTATTCTTTAGGGGGAAAAGAGTGGGGGCTGTATTCAGGTAGGCATCTTTTTATGGCAGTACTTACAGAGATCTATTATAATAATGTCCTCCAGGGGGCGTTAAATCTTCAGCAAAGCTCCAGATTCATCTGTAGGCCTTCAAATCCAGTTAGCAAAAGCAGACAGTCCAGCTTTCTTCTCACTGGAATGCAGGAGTTCTGGGGCCCATATCCTGAATTTCACATCTCAGCCTTCAGAGTAAGCTGTACGCTTTTTAGAAAAACTAGGGTGGGCATGAAAAGCCTGTGCCTTGGGGCGTGAGCACCAGTGTAGTCTGGCCACAATGCTCTGAATGCCCTAACAGGTCTTGGGTTGGCTGACCTTCATTAGTCCATGCTGGTAACCCTTTTAGAGACAATTGGTGTGTTTAAAAATCGTGGTGCCTTCTAAGGGCAGAAATGTGACTCCTGGAAGCCCAAAGGTAACCTAATATGGACTGCAGATGGTGAGGTGGGTCAAAATGGCAAAGGGTACCTCCTTCCTGCTTGAACTCACAAACGGCTATTTTTCCTGTTGTTTTTGAATGAAACCATCACTTAGGAGTCTGAAAAACTCTAGGTCTGGGAAACCAGCAACTTTCTGTAGTAAAGTTTATTACTGTGAAGTTACATAGTTCAGAAGACTATAGGTTCTGGAGTTGGTTGAGGGGGTTCTCTTATCTGCTTTGTGTATTATAAGCGCTAGGGTCCTGAATTAATTACTTAAATTCCTGTGTCTCTGATTCCTCATTCACAAAAGACTATCTCCTCTAGAGTAACTGTAAGGACTAAGACAATCTCAAAAAAGTACTTGGGGCATAATAAGTGTTCCATAAATGCAATCAGTGACTCTTATTCCTGAGTTTGGAACCAAGATCCCCATGGTGTGGCTCTAACTGGTCTCTCACTTCATCTGTACATAGACTCCTTCATCCCAAATACCTTCCTACACTTTTATCCCTTTGCTTCCTCTGCTTCCTCTACCTTCCTTGGCTACATCACCATCAGATGAGATCCCACACAAATTTTAAGGATTACTTGTAATGACATCTTTATGCCCCCCCTACAATTCCCTACTTTAAGAACTAAATGAGCTTTCCTCTATTTTCTGAACAATATCAGGGACATAATATTTTGAGGAGTATACATTTGTTAAAACTTATTGAACTGTACACTTAATATGGGTGCATTTTAAAATATGCAGATTATACCTCTTTAAACCAACCCAGTAGGGACATAATAAGAAGACCTCACTCTTCAGAGAGAGGAAGACTTGGGTAAGTTCTGATGCTTTCTACCTGGCAGGTCATTGAACCTCTTACCCACACTCTCCTCTTATGCAAATGGGGTACAATTGTCACTTTTCCTGTTGCAGTGAGCGCTTGCAGACACACTAGTATAAACATGAGTTGCATGGTGCTTGCACACAGCTGACGCTACATGACTATTAGGACCTTTCTTTTTAGCTTTGCTATTTCTGTGTTGGTCATACACCCCTGTCCACTAGAAGGTAATGTTGGAAACAGAATATGGGTAGCCTTTTTCTTGTCTGCGTTTCTAGAAAAAAGTAGAAGTTGTGTCTTTTATTGCTATATACACCAACTTTTAGATAACAAACACTTAGAGGCATCTCAACTGACTAAGCCCTGCAGGACACCGCACTGTGTGTTATCTATCACCTGGGTTCACCAAGGCTCGGTATTCTAAAGTAATGACAGATGCTTTATTTGGTAAATAATTCGGCTATGGCTCCCCAGTGTACATACAACAGGGTTTAATAACACATCTTTCACTCTGATAGCTCTTTAGGTTCACCAGGGTTGTTCGTTTCCCTTTCCTATGCAGATGGAATCACTATACTGTTTTCTTGACCAATAAGTCACTCTGTTTTCCATGGTTCAAAGTTAAGCTTTTATTTGGTTTTAAATTAAAAAAATAAATTTCATTATTAAATAGTGAGATGGAGCTAAATAATGTTCAGATAGTAGCTGACTCAGGGATATATCACGGGGGTGGGGTACAATGGAGAGGCGGATCACCTAAACTAAAATCATTTGTTATGTTGTCATGTCTGTTAAAAGTTCAACAGTGGCATAATTCAAAAGAAACTGATATACAAAGTTTTAAATGTTTACAACTGATGAGAGAAGTAAACCACTTATTCTACTGCAATTGCACACAAATTTCTTTCTCAATGCCAGTCAGTTTGGACACTATACCACAGTGCTAATGTCGTCGGGTTCATCTGCTTTCTTTTGCCTGCTTGGCAGGGATTTCAAGTATTCAAGGTGTCTGCGGGCATCCTCCTGATTTTGCCTCACATAATACACCACATATGAGATCACCATGGTGAACCAGCCAAACATAGTGACCAGCATGGCATAATCGGTAGTTTTTTTAGGGAGGTTACAAAGGTCAGCATCATTGGCAGCATTGAGAAATGGTCTCCCTGCATGTTCATCCAACACGGAAGTCTTACAGATCACGTTGTGGGCTGTCTCGTGATTGGACGCCATGCTCCGCAGAACTTGCTGTAGAGTACAGTCGCAGTGCCAGGGATTGTTGGCGATTCTGGCTCTGGCCTTCAGGTTATTGAAGGCGTTTTTGTGCACACTTTGAATCCGGTTGTCAGACAAGTCCAGAGTCTGCAAAGTTTCAGCTACTCCTTTGAAGGCATGCTCATCGATAAACTCAATGCCATTTTTGGACAGGTTGAGAACTTTCAGTTGATGGAGGTCCTTAAAAATCTCATTGGGAATTGATGTGATCTGATTGGAGTCCAGATACAATAAGACTGTTTCAGGAGGAAGATCTCTGGGTATTTCCTTAAGATTTGCATTGCTGCAGGTGACATTTAAGCCCCCAGAGGAAGAACAAAGACAGCCCTTGGGACACATACTGGCAGAATGAAAGCACAGTATCATAAGAACAAAACTTTGTAGAAGGAGACACATGGAGAGGGAACGGGTCAGCCACAGGTCTACCAGATTCATGCTGGAATGTCAGCATAATCACAAGCCCATTCCTCATTTACTCCAACAAACAAGCGTGGCAATGGTTCCAGCCCTGTCCACACCGCTGATTTCCTTCTTGCGTGGTTCAAAAGTTAGTCTTGCCACTAACACATGTGTCTCTTCATTATTTCAGTCCTTGCTTGGATACCTAAAGGAAAGGGAAGCAGATGCCATTAGCTCTTTTGCAAAGAGAAGCACATTGCAATTAAAAGTATTCTCAGGCACCTGGCATGCTATGTGGGCAGGAGAGTAGGTTATGCAGGTAATTTCCATGAACACCACTGGGAGTTATTTGCGTAATGGGAATCTCCAGTTCAAATCCCAGTTGCTGGGGGAGAAAACTGTCAATAAATGAAAACATATCTGAATTATGTTGCCTTGTTTTTAGTTATACAGAATTAGAGCAAACAGTCCAGGTTTCTCTCATCTTTACTGGTTCTTCTCCTAAACCCATTCTGACTTCTACAGCAATACATTTTAATTACACCTTTCTCCCTACAGTAGCATGCATTAATGTGAGTTAGCCCTGCATTTCAGCTGCAAGGAAAAATAACAATAATATTTCACAGGTAATGATTAGAGATAGTAGTATCTGTCATGGCTTCTGACATTCCAATTTTGCATATTTTTTCTTACTTGAAATAAGAAATGAATGAGTACACTCCAACCTTCACAACAAAATTTTGTTAGGGGCTGTCAGCCCAGAATCTCCAAAAGAGTTGCCTCCCCTGTAACCTCCTGAGATTACATCATACCTGGGAGGATGCTCTTAACTAAATTTCCAAAGGATTCTGTCTGTTTTCTAAACAACATAACCCCTCCCCAATAGATCTTTAAATATGTCAATACCTCCAAGCCTTTAAATTTTATTTTAAATTAATTTTTACAGAGAGAGAGAGAATCTGTTGTTCCACTTATTTATTCATTCATTGGTTACTTCTTGTATGTGCCCTGACCAGAGATCCAACCTGCAACCTTGGTGTATCGACATGATGCTCTTACCAACTGAGCTGCCCAGCCAGGGCCTCTCCAAGACTTTAAAAAATATAAGATGAGAAATAAGAAATAATAGCCTCTAAGATTTTCCCAATAGCCTATTATTTCTTTCTAGTCATACAGTGTGGGGCAAAAGTAGGTTCACAGTTCAGAGTATGCAAAAGAGTTTATTCTTACATTATTATTTATTATTTATTGTATTATTTTCCATAAGAACAACTATAAACCTACTTTTGCCCCACCCTTATATTATTAGTATTTGAAGGGGCCTCAGAAATTGAAAAAATCAAGTAATATGAGCAAGGTTATAAACTTACTCAAAGACAGAGATGAGAATATAAGTTAACCTTCAAAACCCTCTCATGCAGAGAGGAGATGCACCTTTGCAGCCAGTCTGCAGAGGAGGCAAGTGGATCTGGGAGAGATTATGTGACTTGTTTAAGGTCAAATAGCGTGTAGGTGGTAAAGAAAGGACTCAGGCCAAAGACTTTGTTCTGACTCATTAATCGCGCAACTGTTTCTGCTACCTCCACAGCTCTGTCCCAAATCCATCTGTTCCAGAAGGACAGTCAGGATCCAGGGAGCATTGCTTATTGTGATTTCTGATGCAGTTATGTTGCAGCTCAATCCCAAGTGGAGACTCCCCATGGAGCTCCATGGAGGGGGCTCTCTGTCTTCTGTAGGGAATCCATGCCTGACTTCAGAGGTTTCTCTCTCAGGACTGGAGAAACCTTCAGCCCTCTTACAGCAGTGAGGACCAAACCTTCAGCCCTCTTACAGAATTTCAGCATGAGCAAAAAATGACTCTCTGCACACTTATCTTTTCTAAAGATCCCAGATGGATAAATAGAGGGGAAAATGACTCCAAATGTCACCAAACTCACAGAAGAGAAGATTAATGTGAGCTGAAAACATAATGAACTGGGTTGTTAATCATGGAAAAAATGAGATTAATGACAGAAGACTCATGTGGATGTGCTTTTGAAATTCTGAGTCCCTTAAATGCCAGAGAATGCTAAAGAAGGACCCCTAGGCTTACTAAAGCCATCCATCAATACCTCATTTCACTCGCAGTGAAATTTTCTCTTCCTTCCATGTTGTCTTTCAAAAGTGGCATTTAGGGAGTCTAGGAATTGCCTAAATGGGAGAGAGAAATTAACAGGTGTGGAGGGGAGGACACTCAGAAGAAAGAGGGCAGCAGAAGGACAAGGCAAAGTGTGCCAGGAGGAGGATATAGGAGATGGGGGAAATGAATGAGATTGGACAAAATCAAGGGCATCCGTGTCATTAAGCAACTTCCATCAACTGAGTACATATGGCTAGCCTAAATCCTGCTGAAAGGTGGGAAGCCTCCTCCGGTGGACACTCCACATCTTTCTAGAGACAAATTAAGAACCTGTCTGAAGAAGTGTGTGTTCTAATTTAGACTATTAGTTTCATGAAGGCAGAGACTTGTTTTGCCTCATATGGAAACAATAGTAAACAAAAAGCAGAAAGTACACTGGGTTTGTATTCCAGCGTTGATCTTTATTATCAACGTGCTGCTGGGCAAGTTGTTTAACCTTGCTAAACTTAACTTCCCTTATCTTCATGTAAAGATTTAAAAAACAGCTAATTACAAGGTTGATGTGAGCATTTGATGAGATAACCCATGTGAAGCACTTAACACAATTCTTCATAGGTAGTAGAGAACTCAATAATTATTAGCTATAGTTACTATTATTATCCTAGACACATTCCCAATTCTTAGCATAGTCCTCGACATGTAGTAAGGGGTAAATACCTATTGTATGAATGAACCAGTGAAGTACTGAAGCATCTAGCTGTGCTTTTTCTTCCTTATGGTAATTGTTTTTACATAAATAATTACCATAAGGCCCATGAAATGTCTATTGCTTTTACATCTCAACATGATGGTTTTAGAAGAAATTCCGAGTGCAGGCTCTTGGTTGATGAAAGGCAGAATGGAATTCTTTCTTAGTAGGCTTCTCTAGACTTAATCATGGTTTCTCCAGAATGGTCAATCCAGTGGTCACAGTCACAGATAAGAAATGACTAGGGCATATCTTGAGTTTTCCACATCAAAGTGCAATCCCTGGAGAAATGGCGTCCTTCATATCCCAAATGGTTTGCCTATACACTAGATGGGATGCTTATTAGGAGTACAAGTTCAGAGTATCCCTTGCATTCAAAGAGGCTGGACTCAAACTCAGTATTTCATTCTTCTTCCTATGATGTTTGATAAAAGGAACATAAAACCTTTTGGGATTGCCTAGATTTCTGGGAGCTACAACTCAGCCTCTAGAGCCTCCACCTGCAGCTAGGATGAAGAGACGAGATGCAGGATGTAGAGAGCTGAGCCCTTGGATGTCCACTAGGCAGATGGTAAGACCAAAGATATCAAGCTAGGTCATCTTCAGCAGGGAGGATGGAAAATCTGCCTCTTCACTCTATTATGTTGAAATACTATTTTACAAAGGGATCACATATTGTTATTGCCCTAAATTACTGGATAGATCAACAGTGGTTCTTGGAACAGGAAGACATGAGGAAATGTGCCTCAGAGTAAACAAAAGTGAGTATTCTTCTGATATTGGTTATTGTGCAGCAGAGTACAGAGCTAAAGAGGAACTGGAAAAACTCAACCTCCCTTTTGCTCTGTTTCTAGCCAGGTCTACCTACAAACCCAAAATAGCAAACAAAGAGTGGGTAGAACATAGAGAACACTTGAGGTCCCATTGGTTTGGGCAACAATAGCTATAGCAGTCACTGCCTGTCCTTCTGATAAGGAATAAGACCTATCAAAGGGATGGACCAAATCCAACAGCATCTTTTCCACTTCTTAAGTCCCCATCTGCAATTCTCAACTCATTAGACTACTCTATCCTTATTCCCTCATCTCCTTCTAATACATCTGGGGCAATCAGGAAGCTACAGTATTTCTGGATGTGATGTCCAGGGGTGAGCTGTGCCTTCAAGGATGGCCATTTTATCTGTGGTCCCATGCCTTGCTTATATTGTCTTGTTATCCGTGCTTCTTAGCTATAGGAATTAATGCCAGGAGTGGGTGTAAACCACCAAATACTATTTCCAGAAGAAAAAATGGGGCAGTTAACAAGCTGACTGAGAAGGCTTTTCTTTCAGAGGTTGAATAACAACTCTGTTCTCCTTTCTATTTCTTCTCATCATTAGGAGATTCTCAGGGTTTCTAACCCCCAAGCTTGCATTAACTTTTATGAGATAACAGAGTGAACCAATTCAGAGAGAAGTGCCAGACACTTCGATTTCTTTCAATTACATCCCATGTAATTTTGCTACCAAACAAAAAAAATTTAAGTAAAAGAGAAGGTCTTTCAATTGAACACATACAATTTAGGTCAATGAGAAAAAACAAACTCATAAATTTAAAGTTAAAATGAAAACTTCTGTATGACAAAAAGTAAGATCATAAATAAAGTGAAAGATGATTTAAAAAGAAGGCCTGATTTCTTTGACAAAAAGAAGTTCTTATAAAGTAGTAAGGAACTGATCTAATGGAAAGATGGACAGAAAAATCACCAATAAATCTAATGAAAAGATTCTTGATCTCACTGACAGTAAACCAAATTTAAGTTAACATACCTATCATCTTGGTTTAAATTTGGAAAATGTCAATAAAAGTGGGAAGAACAAAGTACACTCAAACACTTGATAAGGGGAAAATTTGGGGCACTCTTTCTGTGTGAGCAATTTAAGAACATCTATCAATGATTTAAAATTTAAGAACAAGATAGACTGACATGTACCAATATAAAGTTCTCCAAAGATGACCACAAAAAGCAGCTTGCAAAAAAAAAAGGTTCTTGGTGTAACCACAGCAAAAATGATAACTAGACTACAAAAAAAATATTACCCTGAACTGTCAGCAAATTGAGCTGTACAAAAGTCCAACAACCAAGGAATTAAAGAAGCCACATTCATCTAGACAGGCCACATTACTAAGATGGGAGTCAAAGCAGCTCTACCAAACACACAGAAACAAACACATGGAGGCTGCCAAAATGAGGAGACAAAGAAATATGGCCCAAATGAAAGAACAGAACAAAACTCCAGAAAAAGAACTAAGCAAAATAGAAATAAGCAATCTACCAGATACAGAGTTCAAAACACTGG